ACTGCGTGGGAAGGGCAAGCAGATTAATCGGGATTGAGCGGATGACCGGTGTCATTGAGTATCTTATGGGATTAGTGTGTTTAAAGGAATAAGGGAAACACGGCTGATAATTACTAAACCGGGACGACGCGTAGTGAAATCCTTTTCCAGTGGTTCGGGGAGCATAACGGTTGAACAATAAAGTGTGACGGGAAAAATACACTGATAAACAAATTCCCTTCAATCTATTTCACTTTCACTAGTTTGGGAAAGTCTGTGTTTGCCTCAAAATAAGTATATAAATATGCCCATACATCAAGCCGTGTAACAAAATACCATATCTGATGTTTATACTTGTTCTTCCGCGTTTATTCCTAAAACGGTAAATTCAATAAAGTTGACGAAAATCTAATCTCTGTCGTACTATATCAAACTAAAGCTTGTCAGAAAGGCCGGCTAACCTGGATATTTCACTCAATGCGAACTAGTTTATTGATACCCATCTCCCGATTACTTTCAAGGATGAGCTGTTTTTAATATTACGCAACGTAGTGTTCTGGGCTGAAACTGGTGGGCTGTTTTCGTCTTAATTCATATCCACTCCCTAAGTCATTAAAAGTGATGATGATGATGATTATAAGTCCGGATTATTTGAAACCAAGGTGGATGTAGATCAATACTTACACAAGAAACTACGCAACACGTCCAGTTGTAATACACAAATACGGCCGTCCCAAAAACAGAAAATAATCAAACATTGTTTTTTTCGCATAACCCTTGTGACAATGTGTCCATACAGTAGGCTGTTTTTTTACCCAGCCCCGTTCCATGAAGGCGTTCGAAGAAAAGCAACCTAGTGAAACTGTGCTTACAGTCATACAATAGCCATTGTTCCCAAGTCGATCAAACGGCCAGTGTGTACAGATGAGGATGCGAGAATAGTGACTGCAGAAAACCTGGCCAAATCAATGTCACACATAGTGTGTAAACGTCTATCAAACGCTAAGCTGATCTATGCCTTTTGCGAGGCGTATTGTTCACACAATAGCATCGTGAGTATTTTTTCACTGATTCCTGCGTAGGTATTCTAAAAGTCTTACTTAGAGAAATGTTTTCATCCATCGATTTAGTGCGCTTCGCGGTGAGACACTTTATTTCATACACAAATGCATGATTTGCAATGTATGTGTACGTGTTCATTTCGTTTCCGCGGTATTCGAAGAATTGCCTTCTGATGGTAAAGCTTCTGGTGCAATGCCTGGAAAACCAAGACTATCTCGCGATACGGTACGATTGGTATCCATCACGGTAGCAAAGGTAATATAATTAAAAACGCCGTAGGTTATTTGGGTTAGGATGGGTGTCAAGTCCCTTCCAGATATATGCGTGTCAAGTGAAAATAAGAATACCCTTGACCGCCTCAAATTGCACCTAACAATCGCAATACCTCACAAAGAAAAGCTTACTATTACGTCAAACAGAGCAAACAGTCAGACGAATGGGGTAGTGTTACGAGGCCCCCAGAAGTGGAGCAAATCACACTATAGATACCTGTGAGGGCACGTATATTCCGTCTCTCACTAAACAGTAAAAGGCCTTCAGGCGAGCGCTTGGTTGTGCATTCCGAACTGGGTTCAACGCAAGGTTGCCATGGCAAAGTCCACACAGCCGATAATTGGTAAGGTCCGTGCTTACAAACCACCCAGCTCCTTGATTGCCAAGCCCTTTTTGATGACGCAACACCTCGTGGATCGCGAGAAGGCAGTTCGAGTGATTTTTACTAATGTGAACATCAGAATGGGGGGTCTTCCCTTTGGAAATCTGATACACTGGACACCCTTTATCCATCGTATCAAGACCGAAATACAACCAAACACATAATGGATTCCTCCTTCAAACCGCTGTTACGTAACTGCAACGCAAAACTTGGTAATAAGTGAGATGTTGCTAATCCGATTGCAAAATCCCGTTCTGTGCTGCCAAAAGTTGTTGATCCAATCAGTTCACTTGCCGTGGAGTTAATCTAATTTCAATTCTAATACTCCCTGTCTAACTGTATATGTCCGTTCACAAGGGTTTACAAATCCGATGAGCTATAAATGTGCTTGTTTGTTTTACGTCAGCGACTGAAAAGATTAAACGAAATGTTAACATTTCGCGACATATGTTTTCTTTCGGTCTTAACACCAGATTGCTCACGATCACCGAGGCAATCAACGATGTAAACCAATTCCATGTCATCAAAAAGACTTGTTGATCATATTGGTTTTGCCTGGGTGACGCTTCCNCGCTTCCGCCATTTACAAGTGTTTATTTTGTAATCCATTCCCAAACCCTAAATAGGCATTGCATTTGTCTGCAGTAGGCACCAGTTGAGATGCAGCGACATCGTCCAGGACATAAATCGTGCAATGTTGCTATACTGGCTTCTCGGTTCAAATTAGATTTAATTTGCTGAAATTTCTTGTCGGCTTTTGATACACCCGTAATCCAGGGGTGGAGGGTAATACTTCAATCGTGGACCGTATCTGAGGCTCGGATGAATTGAGTCATCGGTTGGTTATGTAAGAAGCCGGTAATGCGAAGGAAACAAATTGTCAACGGGATCAAAATTGACCGATTTTCTAAGTATAGGATATGAAGAAGTGATTAAAAAGTGAGTATGAAGGATAAAATTAACAGACAAATTTCTTGAAAGGGGTAATACATCCCATCGATGGATGAACACAAGCACGCATTTTCTGCATGTCACCCCCGTCGCCAAAATTCTTCCGCCATTTAGCCAAGTCTTTTTGTCTGAGCGTACTTCTCGGTGACGTCACGTCCGAAGAAAATCAATTCGAACAGCAGTAGCTTGATTCAGACACGTAGGCGAACGTTCAGCTTATCTACCAACGACACGTGCATATCAGTATAACAGAATAGGGGTAAAACAAAATCACGCTAATTCTTTCTCAGTTTTTTAAGTATTTGCAACCTATGTTCTTTTAAACAAGAAGTATAAACTGTCACAAACAGAGTATGCGGACGCACGAGTAAATAAATGTTTGAACTTTCAGTGTATGCATATTTTAAATGCAACTTTTGAATGTTAAATTTTTCAACAGATAGTGCTCGAGAGTGTGTTGAAGATCAAAATTTTACATTAATTTTGGTTTCCATCGTCCGTAATGCTGGCGATTGTGTTTCTGGCAATTTGGTTTGCGGACCTTGACAGTAAACAAATGTCCGTGCAAGAAAACGGTCAGAATCGCGCGGTACAGTAAAATCGGTGGGAAATTCACTAGCTTAGTATATGGATTACACAAAGCAATTTTAATCAGAGCAAGAAATAGGTCATCTTTCTAACCTCACAAAATGTCACATGATTTTGTAAGGATCATGATGAGTGATATAACAATGTGACATCTGTACAATCTGCCATTGGTATTTCTTGTTGATTATTCTGTTTATTATTAGCAGAAACGCGAATAAATCGATCCATCTGTCATGAGGAAAAACACTATACATCCTTACGTTCAGAGATAAATAGTGAAGGAGAACAGGATTAGGACTAGTTCACAACAATACCTAACTAGCTTTGATTGTTAAAGCTACTCAGGGGGTGGCTACTTCAGAGCCTAAAACAACATAATTATCGTATTTGTAGTTGATGATTGAAAGAGCTATAGAAAATTGTTCAACATAAACGGGGGTGATGTTCTGGTGGTAACACCATCAAATTATGATTCCATGGAACTTGTTTTTTTTTATTTTCAGCTGCCCTCTACCTGAACGTTGTGTCTTGGATATTCAGTCAACAAGAAAGTAAAGATGAAAAGAAGAAAAAATAAGGAAAATGAAGAATATCACACACCACACCGCCAGTGGGGGAATCTGCTGGACACGAAAGCATGTGGATTCCCTTCGATTTCGGAATTATTAGTGTGTGCAAATTAATAACTATTTCCATAAG